CACCAAACCAACACTACAGGAAATTAAGGGAATGTTGTAAGAAGAAGAAGAAACGGAGAGAGAGAGAGAGGAACACAGGCATAAAATTAAAATGGCAACTAATAACTATCTATCAGTAATTACCTTAAATGTAAATGGCTTAAATGCTCCAATCAAAAGACATAGGGTAGCTGATTGGATAAGAAAACATGACCCATATATATGCTGTCTACAAGAGACCCACCTCACAACAAAGACTCACACAAGATGAAAGTGAAGGGATGGAAAAAAATTTTCCAAGCAAATGGAAATGGAAAAAAATCTGGTGTAGCAATACTCATATCTGACAAGATAGACTTCAAAACAAGGGCCATAATAAGAGACAGAGGTCACTACATAATATTAAAAGGATCAATCCAACAAGAGGATATAACCCTGGTAAACATATGCACCAAATATGGGTGCACCAAAATATATTTAAAAACTTCTAGAAGACTTCAAGGGAGAGATCAACAGCAACATAATTATAGTGGGTGACTAACACACCATTGACACCACTGGATAGATCTTCTAGACAAAAAATTAATGAGGACATAGAGTCCTTACAAGACAAACTAGATCAGTTGGACTTCATTGATATTTACAGAACAATTCACCCCAAAGCTGCAGAATGTACAGTCTTCTCAAGTGCACATGGGATAGACCACATGTTAGGACACAAAGCAAGTCTACAAATTCAAGAAAATTGATATCATATCAAGCATCTTCTCAGATCTCAGTGGCATGAAACTAGAACTCAATTACAATAAAAACACACAAAAACCTTCAAACACTTGGAAGCTAAATAGCATGTTATTAAACAGCGAATGGGTTACTAATGAGATCAAGGAAGGAATTAAAAACTTCCTGGAAACCAATGAAAACGAATATACAACAACACAAAATCTATGGGACACAGCGAAAGCAGTCCTGAGAGGGAAGTTCATAGCACTACAGGCCTACCTCAAGAAACAAAAATTCCTAATTGACTCTGTAACCCTATAACTTAAAGAACTAGAAAGTAAACAAAATGAAAAACCCAGAGCTAGTAGGAGGAAGGAAATAGTAAAGGTCAGAGCAGAAATAAACGACATAGAGACCAAGAAAAAAAAATTCAGAATATCAATGAAACAAAAACTGGTTCTTTGAAAAGATAAACAAGACCAATAGACCTTTTGCCAGACTCACCAAGAAACAAAAAGATAGAAACCAAATAAACAAAATCAGAAATGAAAGAGAAGTAACAACTGACACCACAGAAATACAAATGATCATCGAAACATACTATGAACAATTATACGCACAATTGGACACTCTAGGAAAAATGGACAAATTTCTAGAAACACACAGCCTCCCAAAACTGAACCAGGAAGAGATAGAAAACTTGAATAGACCAATAACAACAAAGGAAATTGAAGATGTAATCAAGAAACTCCCAGCAACAAACGCCCAGGCCCAGATGGCTTCACAGGGGAGATTTACTGAACATTCAAAGGAGATCTAATACCCACTCTTCTAAAACTATTGCGAAAAATCTAAGAAGATGGAACAGTTCCAAACTCATTTTATAAGGTCAGCATAATCCTGATTCCAAAACTAGATAAAGACACTACAAAGAGAAAACTACAGGCCAATATCCCTGATGAACACGGATGCCAAAATCCTTAACAAAATATTAGCAAATCAGATCTAGCAATACATCAAATAAATTATTCATTATGACCAAGTGGGTTTTATCCCAGGGATGCAAGGCTGGTACAATATTCACAAATCAATAAATGTGATACACCACATAAGCAAACGAAAAGATAAAAACTATATGATCATATCAATAGATGCTGAAAAAGCATTCAACAAAATCCAGCACCCATTTCTGATAAAAGCGCTCAGCAATGTGGAAATAGAGAGAGATCTCAACATATTAAAGGCCATATATGAAAAACTTACAGCCAACATTATACTCAATGGGCAAAAACTAAAAGCATTCCCCTTAAGAATGGGAACAAGACAGGGATGCCCACTTTCGCCACTCTTATTTAATATAGTACTGGAAGTCTTAGCCACAGCAATTAGAAATGGAGAAAACATAAAGGGGATCCTAATAGGAAAGGAGGAAGTGAAACTTTCATTATTTGCAAATGACATGATATTGTACATAGAAAACCCTAAAGACTCCATAAAAAATTTACTAGAGTTAATAAATGAATTTGGCAAAGTAGCAGGATACAAAGTTAACGTCAAGAAATCAACGGCATTCTTATCACCAATGATTAAATCACAGAAAGAGAGTCTAAAAAAACAATCCCATTTGCCATCGCAGCAAAAATTAAGATACCTAGGAATAAACTTAACCAAATAAATAAATGACCTCTTTACAGAAAACTACAGGTCATTGGAAAAAGAAATAGAGGAAGATATAAAAAAGTGGAAGCATATACCTTTTTCATGGATTGGAAGAATTAACATCATTAATATGTCCATACTACCCAAAGCAATCTATAGATTAAATGCAATCCCCATCAAAATACCAATGACATACTTCACAGAACTATAACAAACACTCCAAAATTTTATATGGAACCAAAAAAGACCCCGAATAGCCACAGCAATCTTGAAAAGGAAGAACAGAGTAGGGGGAATCACATTACTAGATTTCAGGTTATACTACAAAGTACTGTACTGGCAAGAGTACAAGCAGATAGATCAGTGGAACAGAATAGAGAACCCAGAAATTGACCCAAGACAATATGCTCAATTAATATTTGACAAAGGTGGCAAGAGCATACATTGGAGTTAAGACAGTCTCTTCAATAAATGGTGTTGAGAAAATTGGAGAACTACTTGCAAAAAAAATGAAACTAGACCACCAACTTACACCATACATGAGTATAACTCAAAATGGATAAAAGACTTAAATGTGACTCATGAATCCCTAAAAATTCTAGAAGAAAATGCAAGCAACAAAATCTCAGACATCATACGCAGCAGATGTTGCACTGATGCAACACCTAAGGCAAGACATACAAAGGAAAAAATGAACACATGGGACTACATCAAACTAAAAAGCTTCTGCACAGCAAAAGAAACAGACATCAAAACAGAAAGGGATCCCACTATATGGGAGTCCATAATCGCCAATGATGCATCAGATAAGGGGTTAATTTTCAAAATATATAGAGTGCTCATACAACTCAACAAAAGGAAGACAACTCAATTAAAAAATGGGCAGAGGAACTAAATAGACACCTCTCCAAAAAGGACATACAAATGGCCAAGAGAAATATGAAGAAATGCTCAATGTCACTAATCATCAGAGAGATGCAAATTAAAACAACTATGAGGTACCACCTCACACCTGTCAAAATGGCCACCATCAACAAATCATCAAACAATGTGTTGGCCAGGGTGTGGAGAAAAGGGGACTCTAGTACACTGCTGGTGGGAATGCAGACTGGTGCAGCCACTGTGGAAAACAATATGATGTTACCTCAAAAAGTTAAAAATTGAACTCCCATTTAACCCAGTGATCCCACTTCTATGAATATACCCTAAGAAACCTGAAGCACCAATCAGAAAGAATATATGTACCCCTATGTTAATAGCAGATCTATTTATAATAGCTAAGATCTGGAAACAACCCAAATATCCATCAGTAGATGAGAGGATAAAAAAGCTGTGGTACATGTACACAATGGAATACTATGAAGCTGTAAGAAATAAAGATCTTTTATCCTTTGAGATGGAATGGAAAGACCTAGAGAGTATTATGCTAAGCAAAACAAGCCAGTAGAGAAAGACAACTATCACATGATCTCACTTATTTGTGGAATATAATGAACTAAACAAACTGATGAACAAAATTAACCCAGAGACTTAGAGGTGGGGTACAGACTGACAAGCCTCAGAGGAGGGGAGGTTAGGGGAGGCAGAAATAAACCACAGAACTTATATGCCTATATGCATGACCAATGATCATAGTCAACAAAGCCAGGAATGGGACGGGGGTGAAGGGGAGGAGGGTGTCAATGGGAGAAAAATGAAAAACATCTGCAACGTGCTTGCTTCGGCAGCACATATACTAAAATTGGAACGATACAGAGAAGATTAGCAGGGCCCCTGCACAAGGATGACACGCAAGTTCATGAAGCGTTCCATATTTTTGACTGACAAGCCCCAGAAGAGGGGGTGGTGGGGGAGAGAAAAACCACAGAACTTATATGCATGTGTGCATGAACAATGGACATGGACAACAAAGCTGGGGACAGGGCGGGGAGGGAGGGGAAGGAGGGAATCAGTTGGGGAAAAAGCGAAACATCTGTAACAAAAATTAATAAAAAAATGCAACAAAAACATTAATAAATACAAAATAAATAAATAAAAATATTAATTGAAGCTGTTGGCATGATTCACATTTTGCACATGAGAAAACTGAGGTGTTGAAATGCTGTATAACTTAGCTAACTGGGTAAGAGACCAAGTATTTGAATCTTAATCAAATTTCACCCAATTAAATCCAGAACTCTTAACATCCAGCATTCTACATGAATTTGCAACTTTCAACCCTTACAATTATTCGAACATTTGCAGCCAACCAGTCATACTACATCATTTGAAAGTAGAGAATCAAAGCAGGTGATGGGGTAGAGGAGCGTATAAAAAAGAAGAATCTGTTAGGTGGCCAAAGTTCTTTTCAATATTTGTAATAGTGGGTCTGTGTCTTCCATATGCGCAAGATGTTTGTTTATAATAGAAGACTGTATTGTGTTGCTTAAATGCAATATTCTGGCTGTTTTGATTATTTTTAAAAAGATGTTACAGTCACCTTGTTAGAATCTGTATTTACTCTGCAAATTGTGTCAACCATTTTCTCCAGGTGAATTAAGCTATTTGAACATGATTCTTTTATTTACATTACTTTATTCACATTTGAATTATGTCTTTTAGATTTTATTTTTCCTTTTGTTCTTTTCTTCACCTTCTAGGCAACAGATCCGGTATATTAACTGTGAAAATTCTAGAGCTGCATGAAGAGTGCACCATCCAGGTTGCCATGTGTGAGCAGTTAGTGGGACTGCAGGCTGACGGCCCTTTCCAAGGTGAGGCCTTCGGGACTGGCCTAAAGGTTCTCTTCACCGAGGAGACGGCACACCATCTCAGGGCACGTCCCCAAGACATCATCCATATCTACCCTCCCTGGTGAGTGCATAGAACTGATTCCGGAGTCACCAACTGTGAGTTTCTCCCAAAAGCATTTGTCTCAAAAGTGTTATTGTCACTTTATTATAGAGAAATGCCAGGAGGAAGCCAGGATTGTACATAGATTTTATGTGACAGAAGCACTGAATTATCTCTGATGACTTTTTTGTTGGGTTTGATCTTAGGAACATAAATCACCATTAATGGATTAGAAAAATTATTTTTAGGATACCATTTTTCTCCTGCATAGAATATTAATTTTTACCATAAAAAAAAAAAAAGAAATCTTATTATTTTGAGGGAAAGATTCAGCAACATTGTTTCAAAAGCTATTAAAAATATCGGCAATATTTTGAAGTTTCTTTCATCTTTTTACTGTCTGTAGTAAGTGACTATGAGACTAAATTCTTCCATTAAGACTGAGGATATCAGAGGATAACCTGCTTTATTTTATTTGTATTGATTTTTACTTCATTTATTTTATTTTGTCTTAATTTTAATACATTTTATTTAAAATTATAAAGTACATACAGAACCACACACAGAGCATAAATATGTATTTCAATGAATAATTACAAACTGAACAGTAGTTCCTATCCAGTCCAAGAAGCAGACTGCAGTTTGTGCCTGGGACCACCCCATCTCCTTCCACTCCCCCCCCCCCCCCCGCCGGTTCCCCCAGGTGACCATTATTCTGACTTCTGATGCAGCAGACTCTTTTGAATGTTTAAGAATTTTAAATAAATAGAATCATAGAATAGTTATATAATATGTATCATCTTTTGCTAGACTACTTTCTCTTAATATTATGCTTGTGAGATTCATCAGTTTTGTTGCATTTAGCTGTTTGTTCATTTTCATTGCTATACAGTATTCTATTATATTAGTTTATGTAATTAATTCATCTGTTCTTCTGTTGACATAGTTAGAATATTGTGGTCAATGCTGTAATGACCAACTGTCATTCTGTGTAGCTTACTCAAGAACACAGCACTATTAATTATCTTCTCCAAAATTTCCCATCATCCTACATTCATGCTTTATTTTCCTGCTTTCTTTTGGAGTGTTGCAATAATCTCTTATCCTGCTGCTTCTTTCTTTACCCTGCTAGTTCTCAAGATGACTAGAGGAGCAAAGCTATAAATATGTAAGTCACAATACTGGCTGTTGGCTGCATACTCCACAGTAGCTGTTCACCTCATGCAGAGTCAAAGCCCCTCCTGAGCTTTGGGACCTCATTTCCTTTTTCTCTCACCTTCCCAGTTCCATTTTGGCCACTTAGAACTCAACCCTGGTTCTCAAATTCCATGTCACTCTCTACTCTCACCTTGGGGCCTGGGCTTTTGCTGCTCCATATGCTGGCATGTTTCATCCCACTACCTTCCCTTGTCTGCACAGGGTGCTGTTTTCTTATCACCTCAAAGCATTTCCTCAGCTGTTACTTCCTAAAGAGGCCTTGGGTCCCATATCTAAATTTGGAAACTACCCTCTTCTACACCCTTTTTTCTCCATTTCTACTTTGTGTTTCACAATCACACATATTAAAGTGTATCCTTTTTATTTGTTCATTTGCTTATTGTGTGTCTCCTGCTGCTAGATTTTTAACGGTCTCCTTTACTTCTTCGGGCCTGAGGGCACTCGATAGAACTTTGATGGGGAATGAAGGAGTAGTTTTCTCCTTGTCCTAACAGTGCTCCTCTGGATCTGTTCCTGTAATTCTTTCTGTCCTTTCAGCTGCTTTATTCAGCGGTTTAAAGTCATCAGAAGTCCTTATGTTAAATCCAGTGATATTGGCAGTGTTTGATTTTTGCAGTGTGTCCTAGTTTCATCTTCTTTATCAACATACCACAGCCTTTCTGTTTCCGTGTATCGTACCTCAGTAACAAATGTACAGTCAAGCTGTGATGGGTTTTTTATAGTGAGCCACAGAAAACTCCAGCATAGTTATCTTTGGAACTATTTTTAGAAACATAAGTGGGCTCTGGATCCCTGGCCCTTGGACTGTATCTTTAAATAAGCTGGTAAAGTTGAACTTTTAGAATCTTTATGTAGGTCCCTGTAGAATCATAGTTCCTTTAGATCTCCACACCCTTAGTATGTTTTTCCCCCTCTCATTTCATTCTAATGGTATTAAATTGGTTTTTTAGTATTTAATACATATGATGCATAATTCAAAAGTATTAAAGGATATGTAGTGAAAAGTGAGCCTTCTTCCCATACTTGTTCCCCCATCTACTCAATTTCCATCCCCTGAAGCAGGCACTGATACCAGTTTCTTACATGCCCTCCAGAGATGGTGTGTGTGTGTGTGTGGGGGGGTTATAATATACTCACAAATATACATATGCATAAACTCACATACTTAAATGTATGTATTTCCTTTTAAATGTATGTATTTCCTTGCATTATTTCATTTGACACTATTTTACAAAAATAGTGTCGAATCATACTATTTTGTACCATACTTTTCTATTTTAGAAATATATCTTGGAGATCATTTTGTAACAATATATTAGTATATGGATAGTTTCTACGTTCTTTTCATTGACTTCTAATGTAGAGATACCATTATTGTTCAATCAGTCCCTTTGGATGGACATATAGGTTGCTCCTCTTTGATTACTTCACATAGTACTGCAGTGGATAGATCATTTTCTACATTTGTGAGAAAGAGCTATAAGATAAATTTCTATAAATATTATAGCTGGATCAGAGGGTGTGTGCCTCTTGAACTTTAGCAGACATTGTCAAGTGGCACTGGTTTACATCTCTGCTAACAGTGCATTAAGTGCCTGTTTCATCCCTTTACTAACCTGTACTGATATTGACCAAATTAAAAACTGGAAAATGGTATTCATCATTTTAATTTGCAGTTATTTTACTGTAATATGGATTTAGGTATCTTTCCCTGTGTTTAAGAACCATTTGTACTTTACTTTCTATGAAATGCTTGTTGATGGCTATTGACTTTTCTTCTCTTAGATTGTTGGTTTTAGATTATCTTAGCGATTTGTATCAACTCTTTAGAAATTATAAATATAGCTACTTGTCAGTCATATGCATTTCAGTTTGTTTTCTCCCATTTTAGTCTTCAGCTTTTTTTAAGGGTTACAATTTTGTTTTATTTGTTTTTGATGAAGCAGAGATAATTGCTTTTCCATGGTTTAATTTATTCATATTTTATAACTTTTGGATTTTGTATTATAGATAGTAAAGAAGTAAGACCTTTCTTATTGTGAGATTACAAGATTATTTTACTAGTTAGATTAGATTAGAGCCCTTCCTCGTGGTCTCATTTTAACGTAATCACCTCTTTGAAGGCTCTGTCTCCAAATGCAGTTGCACTCTGAGGTTTTGGAGATTAAGGCTTCCATGTATGAGTCTGGGAGGGACACTGTCATCAGAATTAATACTTTTCTGCTGAATATTTCAATTTTGTGAATTGGTCAATGCTGATTACTCAGTTCCCATGTCTCCCATAGAAGCTTATTTCACAAATTGCTAAGTTGCTTCCTGAATTGTATTGTCTTGTCATAGAGTGAATTAGATTTTTGTAAAAAAAGATAAGTTTTAAATAAAAACAAAAACACTAACAGTATTTTAGGAAGAGAGCTAGATAGAGTTCAGAAAGATAAGTATATTATTATGTTGTATGGGTGATTTAGGCCATCTGGCTTAATAGTTTGGAAGTTTCTGGGTTTTGTTTTGTTTTTAATAAAGAATTATATTTCTTTATCCAGCTTTTAACTGAAGTCAGTCTAGGTGCTACTTATAAATAGCTTATAGTTAAAGAAAAAAGTCCAAAGTAATAAAAATAACTAATTTTTTTTTTTTTATCCTCACCCGAGGACATTTTTCCATTTTTTATACAGATAGAGTGGGAGGGAGAGAGAGGAAGAGAGAGAGAGGGAAACATCGATGTGAAAGGGACATATCGAGTGGCTGCCACCCGCACGACCAACCAGGGCCGGGGACACACTGCAACCGAGGTACATGCCCTTAGCGGGAACCGAACCCGGATCTCTCAGGACCGCAGGCTGACGCTCCAACCGCTGAGCCAAACCGGCCAGGGCAAAAAATAACTAATTTTTTTAGTAGAAATTTATAATGAATTTTTTTTTTCTTGTAAGATGTCTACTCTTCTCCCACTGAAAGCCTTTGTGTTTATTTAAACCATTTTCTTTTTTTTTTTTTTAACCATTTTCAACATGGAAACAGTTTTTAAAGGAATCAGTAGATTTCAAACACTTCTATTTGTCCTTTAGTAAATGTGGGTTTAGGTAGAATGGCTACCCAAAGGAGTTTACAGTCTTTTCTGTATATTATCTAATAAATTCTCATTTCATGTGTATAAGATGTGATGTTATCATAGCTCAGCCAATCTGGAAACACATGTAAAAAATAAAATGCCTTGCCTAGAATAATTAATTATATATGAAATAGTTATAGAATTATAGAAGTAACTTTTAAAAAGTCATGAACCTGTAAAATTTCAAACATATAAAAATATAGTACTATAATAAATGCCATGCCTCCATCACATAGTTTCAATGTTTATCAACTAATGAATAAACAGCTTTTACTACTGAAGGAACCAGAAAGTTTTAAGTATAATTATTCCAAGTTGAATATAGGTATGTTTTTTAATGTGAAGGAAGAAATTTTCTATGATGGTAGTTGAAGAGAGAAGGAGGTAGAATTCATCTGGCTAACTCGGTATGACCCACCACCAAGTCTGAGGCCAAGATGAGTACCAAAAAAGATAAGCATAAAATAGTGTATTAAGGGACAGCCAGGACACCTCTTACCTTACTCATTCACTCATTAATGTATTCATTAAATAGTACATTTAATAGTACTCCATGTAGCAGATACTTTGTTTCCCCAGAAAATATGTTTTCATTAAGGAAGGGGACTTAAAATCAGACTTTTCCCATTATTATGAATATTCCTCTATAAATGTACATTATGGTATAATTTATTTTCTCCATATTCTCATT